TTCATTTTTACAGCCGCCATTTGCAGTTAGATGATGTTGTGTTTGTTTTATACGCAAAATTGTACAATGGGCTGTCGTGCGCTGTTCCCATCGCAAGGATCGTGCACCAAGTGTTACCGTTACAAGCACTGAAGCTTAAAGCTTAACCATTGGTTTGTTATGGAAAGGTGTCATAAAACTAACCTTTGCCGAATTCGTCAATATACCTTTCTTTTGATATTCAAATAAGACAGGTGTAAAATTTACCAGCTGTTTCTAACTTAAGTTTGTTATATATAAAAACGCAGGGTAATAGCGTAAGATGGTATTGATTTTTAGATTGTTTAATTTAGCTTTATACCTAGGATAAAAGAAAACCGTTTTTTAATCTGGTTTTATTCCGTTTATTCGTTCGTTTTTGAATTTCGCGCAAAGCTACACGAGGGCTATCTGCGCTAGCCGTCCCTAATTTAGCAGTGTAAGACTAGAGGGAAGGCAGCTAGTCATCACCACCCACCGCCAACACTTGGGCTACTCTTTTACCAACGAATAGTGGGATTGACCGTCACATTATAACGCCCCCACGGCTGAAAGGGCGAGCATGTTTGGTGGGACGGGGATTCGAACTCGCGACCCGCAGATTGTGAGTCGAGCGCCCCTAACCACCTGGCCAGGCCGGGGGCCTATTCCGTTTAAATGAAGAGATGTTTATTTTCTACAAGTAACAGCACTTTATTAAATATCTTAGTAGACTAAAGGAATACCCCGCTTTTCTCGAACACTCGGAAGCCAGCACAAACTAGCGCCCCCTATAACATTTACTCTCAACACCAGACTTTCACTTTTATACGTCAAACCTACTAATGGCGATTGAAGAAGCAACGTGTTTTTCCTAAAAAAATAAAAAAATTGGTCTTTGTGATAGAGGAGGCTAAAATTGATTTATTTCATTGTGAAAGCTCACCCTGGAGCAAAGATTAACTACAGATCTTCAAATATCCATTTAAACGCAAACAGATAATGCCTGACGAACGTTAAGAACAAATAAATATATATAACCGCCTGATAGCACGTGCCGAAGCGAAATATTTAACAATCCCGTTTTAATTCTTATTAGCTTCGCATACAAAGATTGTCTAAGTTATACGTTTCTAAACGTGTACTGATTTTATACGAAACTTTTATAAGTAAAGTGTATGAATCACTTGGATTTATAGCGTGTGTTATAAAAGTAGTTAAGTTTAACGTACTGATTGGGAATTCTGTGTATTACAAAGTTGTATCGAGGAAGAATAAACTAGTTTTAATTAAGAAATGACTTGTATCACTGAAGTTCCTCGGAGAGAATTTATACCGGAAATTAACAAACGAGCAGATAAGTAACAATACTTAATTCCGTTTTGTGTAGTTATTTCGTCTGAAGACGAAACAAACGCTTATAAAGCAGAGTTAGAGTTTATTTCTTGACTATATTTACTCAGTGAGGAACGTTATCTTCAAAATTTTCGAGAGACTCAGTAGAAGTTAAATTCCAGGCGTCTTGAAAGAAAGTTTTTTTTTATTTCTGCTGCTTTATTTTTATTATTTCTTTTGATAAAAATAGTCTCTCATCCTCCCTCTGTTGCACATACAATTAACAATGTTGAGGTCTGGGATCTGTGGAATCATGGTAAAGATAACATTCAAGTATGGTATAGATCCGGCAGTTTCTACTCTATTGATGGAGTATTGGATTCTTTTGGATTTAAACAAATACCCGTACACCATATTGTTCTTTCTGAGCAAAGTTTGTTGCCTTTTCGAAACAAAGAGTTTCTAGCTACAGTGAACCCTTGCTACAATGAACCCTTTTAACCTTCTTGAAGCTTCGTGTTTCTCACAGTGGAAGATTCAACTTTAAATCCAGTAATATCTTCAAGATCTGCAATAAAGCTGTTTTCAGATTTACAACTGTCTTGTAGTTAAGTAATCTATGCCTTACTTCATCATTATATAAAGCTATTATGTTTTCATATACAGGAGTGTTATCAGTTCTGACTTTCTTACTTCCAATCTTTCAATTTTTCTTTTAAACGAAAACACGCGATTTAGAAGGCTTTTAAATAAGTAAGGGCTTTTAGTTTGGAATTTTTACAGTATTTCATCATGGACGCATTTTGCGCAGGAGATTGAATGATGGTCTCTCATTTAAATACAGCAGTGTACGCTTTCCACACAACTCACCAATGCTGTGGACAGATATACCCGATAGATGGGCAGTCATTGTTTTCCATACTTTGTAGATAATTGTTTCGGGCTAAACATCTAAACATCAATCTTATATACGTTGCTTGGGGAGCAGTCAATAAGGGGCAGGGGCAGCAAGTAGTTTTATTATGACATGCTACTGACCACTTAAACCCACTTACAGATTTGGGGAAAAAAACAAATCCAAGACAAAAACATTTTCAAACAACTTTTCAAAATTGAGAGAACAAGGAAACAGCGTTGTTTGTTTTTGCAACAAAACGTCCAGAAATGGCGCACTTATTACGTGATACTATTGTAAGCTATCCACTTCAACTAGTTTCCTAGCTAAGCCACTGTCTACTGCAAGTAAAGAACTCGTGGTGTGAAACGTTTTAATCCTAAGATACAAATTACTATCCAAGTACTACGTCCTAAGTATCCGTCAATTAACAGTAAGTGCAAACTACAGTTATGATTTTGTTGTTTTTTTTACTTCCCTCTAAAAATAATTGATGATTCAGAACATTCCACACATTTGTGTGAAAAGTGTGAAATTTGCATTAAATGAAACCGTGAAAAGTGAAAAAAACAAAATGTATATATATTGGATTTTTGCACTGAAACTTATAACTTCAGCATTTCAACACCAGGGTCGCTGTTTTAATAAAAAATTAACGATGGATAAACAGGTTTCAAATTTTATTAGAATGACTTAACATAAGGATAAAACGGATTATTTGGTCCCTCAAAGCTGTAACTACGCAACCACCCTTGGGAATAAACTTAAACCCACACTATTTTTCAGAAAAGTAAACTACTTGTCACCATCTATTGTTACTGACGGTGATTCGTTCCATTAGTCAATCACGATCTTAGAAAACTAAATGTCTTAACTGGAACTCAGCCGGTCTTTTCCTAATCTTAAACTCATACCATTTTGTCCTTCAAAACAAAACGATCACAGAACTGTATCCTATTTGTCTTCCAGATAATCCTATAGACTTCAATAAGATCAATTATTGCCCTTTTCTCAAGAAAAACAAATCAAGAGATTTTAACTTATCCTCATAAGATAACTATTACATCCGCGAAATCATCATAATATCCCTCCTCTGAATCGTTTCTAATAAGTTAATATTCTTTCTTAGATAAGGAGATTAACTTGCATAATATTCTAAGTTAAGCCTAACTATTGATATGTATAGAGCTAATAAATTACCTTTTTTGCCCTGTTATTAACTTGCATAATATTCTAAGTTAAGCCTAACTAATGATATGTATAGAGCTAATTAATTACCTTTTTTGCCCTGTTGTTAACTTGCATAATATTCTAAGTTAAGCCTAACTATTGATATGTATAGAGCTAATAAACTACCTTTTTTTGCCCTGTTATTAATACGTCTATAAATACAACATAAATTCCTATTGCCTTTGATACGAGTAACATAGCTCCACCATTATACCAAGATTCTTTTCTTCAATCACGATACTGATTGGGTTTTCATCTAAATTAAACATTTGATCCAAATCATTACAACCCAGATGCACCATATTACCCCTAGTATAGTGAAATGTAACTTGCCAAATATTTGTCCAACTATCCAAGTGATCCATGTTATTGTGTAGTACCTCAACACTGTCGATACAGCTAGAAATATCCAATTTAGTATTCCTTTGTCAATCGGATGCTTCTCTTGTCTTTATCAAAAACCTTGAAGTAAGCATCTTTTAAGAAATTGATCTCCATTTCAACGTGGCTTTACTCTAAATCAAACAAATTTCTTTAAATCTTCCATCCTGTATGTCAGCTTTTCCTTTATTTTTAGTAAGACCTGTCCCACATCATTTTTTAAATCATAATAAATTAAATTATGACAAATCTGGTCTCATTACTTCAACATTGACTTTCTGAAAATTAGGAAACAAAATTTCATTTTTTTTGTTTACCTCAACACCTAGTAAAATGTGAAACTAATTAAATAATGATCACTCTTTCTCAGATGTTTCCCCTACTTCAACTCTTATAACTACATCCTCATTAGTGGTTAGCATTGAATCTCTTTCTGGGATGCTTCCCTCCACTTCAACTCTTGTAACCACGTCCTCATTAGTGGTTAACCATGAATCTCTTTCTGGGATACTTCCCTCCACTACAACCCTTGCAACCACGTCCTCATTAGTGGTTAACCATGAATCTCTTTCTGGGATGCTTCCCTCCACTTCAACTCTTATAACTACATCCCCATTAGTGGTTAACCACTAATGAGGACGTGGTTACAAGAGTTGAAGTGAAGGGAAGTATCCCAGAAAGAGATTCATTGTTAACCACTAATGAGGACGTGGTTATAAGAGTTGAAGTGGAGGGAAGCATCCCAGAAAGAGATTCATTGTTAACCACTAATGAGGACGTGGTTACAAGAGTTGTAGTGGAGGGAAGTATCCCAGAAAGAGATTCAATGTTAACAATGAATCACTTTCTGGGATACTTCCCTTCACTTCAACTCTTGCAACCACGTCCTCATTAGTGGTTAACAATGAATCTCTTTCTGAGATACTTCCCTTCACTTCAACTCTTGTAACCACGTCCTCATTAGTATTTAACAATGAATCACTTTCTCAATTGCTCCCCCCCTCACACACACACTTATTTTAAGAAACAAGTGTTACAACGATATTCTCACTCAGCTCGACTTACTATCACATTTCGTACTATTCAGCTGTACAGACAATTGTTTTAAAGTATTTTTTCCAGTATTTTAATGTCTAATACGCTTATTTTCTCTTCCTTTCAGCTGTTTCTGTTAGCGTCAGTGCTTGGACGTTGGTGGCCATGTCAGTAGAACGCTATTATGCCATTTGTCACCCTCTAAAGTCACGAGAATGGCAGACCTTGTCCCACGCCAATCGGATGATTTTAGTAGTGTGGGCGGGTTCACTACTTTGTATGTTGCCTGTTTCGGTGTTGAGTGAACTACAGCCTATTAGAGACAGTGGTGAGTTCAAAAAATATTGACATTTCAAACACGTGGCATCCCGAACTGTTTAATTCATTTCCTTTTCTTGTTATTGTCCTTTTTGTTTTACTTTTTTTTTCTCTAGGTTAACATAAGAAATGATGCAGTTCAAGTTTACATTTTTAATAACGTATTATCTCTAAAACGTCCGTAATTTGAAATGCAGATAAAATAACATGTTGATTAAACTCTATCAAATAATAGTTTACAAAGAATTGGGAAATAAAGGAAGCCAACTGTACGGGTGGGAAGGTAAAACTGTATCCCCCCTTTTCCCTCTCACAAGAGGATAAGAACCTAACAAGAAGTACCACTTTAATTTTATATCCAATCCCAGCCACATATTAAATCTCAAATGGCGTTGCTGTAAAGTGTAGAAAATATCAAACAAATTAAATTCAAGTCGTAGATGCGTTACTGTTGTTGTTGTTTTATAAAATGGAAAATGCCTTTTGGGAAATCGATCTGTGAAATGAATGTTGAGTAATTATTGTTTTAAAAGAAAAATGATATTTATATGCATATTCTACTCACTAGTAGAACTTTCACGTGCAATGTTAATAGTTTGAAGTCTTTGTTTTTATAGTTTCAATTAATTCGAATCCCCGTCCCACCAAACATGCTCACCCTTTCAGCCGTGGGGGCGTTATTCATTTTCTATAAAAATTTCATAAAACATTGAATTTGTTTGTTTTGGAATTTCGCGCAAAGCTACACGAGGGCTATCTGCGCTAGCCGTCCCTAATTTAGCAGTGGGAAGGCAGCTAGTCATCACCACCCACCGCCAACTCTTGGGCTACTCTTTTACCAACGAATAGTGGGATTGACCGTCACATAATGAATAAACAGTAAGTCATTCATTTATTATATTTATTTGTAACGAAATGAAGTAGCCTTATTCAAGTATTGGATAATATGTATGTTAAATTAGATGTATTGTTGACTCGTGAAAACAAAACAGCAGGTGTAGTATGGAACATTGTTTGAAAGAAGCTATGAACACTTTAGAAATGTATTCGATCTTTTCACAAGACTGGTATAAGCGAAAGAAGAATGGAGGTGTGTTTGCCAGTGATCAACTATGTGATCATATAGAATATTTTGATCGGTTAGGACTGCCTCCATGTAATCTCAACATAAGAAAATCACCAAGAAGGACTGTCAAAGCAAACTTACAACAAACAAAAATATTATAAGAATTGTGTGTGTGTGTGTGTGTGTGTGGACAATATTGTATATATTATACTTATTATTGTCGTCTACATGTGCCCAAGAAGGTTCAGTCCTCAAAGATGTGTGAAAAATGGTAAGTGTTGTTATGATTTACTACAGAGCTTATTAACTAAATGTTAAAAGTAAAGTTACTTAAACATTAATTATATGTCTAAAGAAACTTTTCAGCTCATGTGTTTTGAAGTTAAATAGACTGAATATGTCACAATGAGTGAGGGTGAAA